GCTGGAGTGCAGTGGCGCAGTCTCAGTTCACTGCAACCTCCACTTCCCAGGTTGAAGCAATTCTCCTAGCTCAGCCTCCCAAATAGCTGGGACTACAGGCACATGTCACCAGGCCCAGCAAATTTTTTTGTTATTTTTAGTAGAGATGGGGTTTCACCATGTTGGCCAGGCTGGTCTTGAACTCCTGACCTCAAGTGAATCACTTCAGGGTAAACGTGCAGGATGTGCAGGTTTGTTACATAGGTAAACGTGTGCCATGGTGGTTTGCTACACCTATCAACCCATCAACTAGGTATTAAGCCCAGCAGGCATTAATTATTTTTATTAATACTCTCCCTCCCATCACCCTATCCCGAGAGGCCTCAGTGATTGTTGCTCCCCTCCTTGTGTCCATGAGTTCTTATTGTTCAGCTCCCACTTATAAGTGAGAATATGCATTATTTGGTTTTCTATTCTTGCATTAATTTGCTGAGGATAATGGCCTCCAGCTTCATCCATTTCTCTGCAAAGGACATGATCTCATTCCTTTTATGGCTGCATAGTATTCCATGGTGTGTATGTATCACATTTTCTTTATCCCGTCTATCACTGATGGGCCTTTGGGTTGATTCCATCTTTGCTATTGTGAATAGTATGGCAATAAACATGTGCATGCATGTATCTTTGTAATGGAATGATTTATATACCTTTGAGTATATACCCAGTAACGAGATTGCTGTGTCAAATGGTATTTCTGTGGACAGACACTTTTAATTTCAATTACCAACACAAACTCAGAAAGCCCAGCTTGTTTTTCAAGGATTTGTCAACTACCTTTTGTTTCAGAAATGATGTCTGATGAGGGGGTGGAGAGGCACAGAAATGGGCAACAAATTCTACTCACCCTGGAGCTCACCAGCTATGGAGTGAGATTAATATGTATAGGTGTAACTGAATTTGACCTCATGGCTATGACTGAGGACTTTGCAAGGCTCCAAGGGAGCATGATGAGAGAGTGACTCCTTCCTTGAAAGGATGTAGGGGAAAGTTACAGAGAAGACAACGCGACTCCAGGCAGATGATGGCGCCAGGGTTTCCAGGTGGGGAACGGCTAGGCTGGTTGCAGCCACAGTGTTCATAAATCTATTTTATTCTTGCTGAAGGGAGGAGTGTTAGTTCCTTCAAGCGGAGGTAGACGCTGGTCTCACTTGCTTTGGTCACGCAGCAAGCACATCAGACTGAACCCCCACAAATCCCTCCCTGAGTTCAGAGAAAACCGGGAAAGGAGAAACATGAAGCTGGTGAGAATGGAACTCTGTGTGACTGAAAAACTTCTGTATCTCCAGGAGGCCACATAAGGCCTAATGGATAGTTGGCACACAATTAACGTAGGTAGACTTGGTTAACCAATACCCTTTACTTATTCTGAGACAGGGTCTCGCTCTGTGGTCCAGGCTGGAGTGCGGTGGCATGATCTCAGCACACTGCAACCTCCATGTCAAATTCAGGTGATCCCCCCATTTCAGCCTCCTGAGTAGCTGGGACTATGGGCACCTGCCACCAATTCAAGCTCATTTTTCTATTTTTAGTAGAGACAGGGTTTTTCCATGTTGTCCAGGCTGATCGCAAGCTCTTGGGCTCAAGTGATCTGCCCATCTCTGCCTCCCTAAGTGCTGGGATTATAAGTGTGAGCCACTGTACCAATGAATACCCTTTAAAGGAGCCTTTGGTTATACAAAAGAAAATCTAGATGAACAGGAGCATAAATTTCTCTTCATTGGTTAAAGGCATTTTTCTTGGTTAAGGCATTCTGGCATAAGATTTATTTTATTTTATTTTTTTAAGAGATAAGGTCTTGCTCAGTGGCCCAGGCTGGAGTGCAGTGATACAATCACAGCTCACTGCAGCCTCCAACTCCTGGGTTCAAGCGATCCTCCTGCCTCAGCCTCCCGAGTAGCTGGGACTACAGGCAGCTGCCCACATGACTTAAACACTTCCCACCAGGCACTATCTCCCGACACCACTCTATCGAGGATCAAATTTCAACGTGAGTTTTGGTAGGTATAGACTCAAACCATAGCAATCTGCTGTTGGCCCCTCAAAACTCATGTCCTTTTCACATACAAAATACAGTCATTCCACCTCAAAGTCCCAAGAGTCTTAACTTGTTGATGTGGTTTGGGACTGTGTCCCTACCAAGTCTCCTGTTGAATTGCAGTCCCCAGTATTGGAGGTGGAGCCTGGTGGGAGGCGATTAGCTCATGGGAGTTGATTTCTCATGAATGCTTTAGCACCGTCTCCTTGGTGCCATTCTTGTGATAGTGAGTTCTTATGGGATCTGGTTGTTTAAAGAGTGCAGCACCTCCTCCCTCTCTCTTTTGCTTCCACTTGGACCAGGTGATGTGTGTGCTTCCCCTTTGCCTTCTGCCATGACTGCAAGTTTGCTGAGGCCTTCCAGAAACTGAGCAGATGCCAGCATCATGCTTCCTAGACAGCCTGCAGAACCATGAGCCAATTAAACCTCTTTTCTTCATCAATTACCCAGTCTCCAGACTGAGCTCATTTTTATTTTATTATTTTTTGTAGAGATGGGGTCTCACTACATTGCCCAGGCTGGTCTCAAACCCCTGGCCCCAAGCTATCCTCCTGACTCAGCCTCCCAAAGCACTGAGATTACAAACGTGAGCCACTACACCTGTCCAAAATTATATATATTTAGTGTGAAGACATTTGAAGAATTCACTTGTCAGGCTCAAAGAGTTTTCTACACATTGGTGAGGCAGCTGCAGATAGTATTAGTAGGTGTTGGCTCTAAGGAGAATGAAGCTTTCACAAAATAACATTCGGCTAAAACCAAAGAGAAATATAGCTTTCAAGGGAATTTCTGGGGTGATGGTTGGCCATTACATTTTAGGAACAGCAATTTCTGCTGTTTATATTGAAGTCGTTTCCGGCCCTGTGCTATCATTTTCCTGTCCCCCAACCCAAAGTCCTCTTTTGCAGTCACTTGTGGGTTGGTGGCGCTATGGAGTTGAAGGAGAGGAACCTCTGTTCACATTTGGTGTGAAATCATGAGAGAGATACTGCATTTGCAGATGGCCAGCTATGGTGTTGGGGGCCTGCCAGTCAGAACCATCTAGCATGCCCTGGGGGGATGTAGGGGGAACACCAGATTCACCTTGACGAAGCAGGATAGAGGCTTCAGTTATATGATTTGGTTAACACAGGAAGGTGTGACCTCAGAAGGCTGGAGAAATGGGACACTTGAGCTGCTGGTTGTGCTCCCTGCAGAACGTCTCCTAACTGAGACTGTGGCTGGCAGCCTGGGCCACTTTTCAGTGGTCTGAATGTCTACACACCTGCCCTGCTTCTTACCAGATTCACACCAGCTTCGCAGCTTATATATTCCACCTGCCACCTGCCAGGGCCAACAGCCTGTTTCCTGACTGTTCAAGGAAATCAGCTCAGATCCCCTGCTGCAGCCACCACATGGGAAGACAGTTCTCAGTTCTTGGCTCAGGTGAGGATGCACTAATCTGTGCTCCACCCCCAATCCACAGGATCCCCAAGGAGTTCCATCTACTGCACCCTACTCTTGCAACGTCTCTGAAAACCCCATGCATTAGTCTTCATTTCATAGTCTCTTAAAAAGCCCCTTATCTCCTGAATTCAGCTAAATCTCTCCCCCATCAGAAGATTTGTTCCCATGGCTTGCAATCCCAGAACTTTGGGAGGCTGAGAGGGGCAGATCACCTGAGTTCAGGAGTTTGAGATCACCCTGGCTAAAATAGCAAAACCCCATCTCTATTAAAAACATACAAAAAAATTAGCTGGGCCTGGTGGCGCATGCCTGTAATCCCAGCTACTCAGGAGGCTGAGGCAGGAGAATCGCTTGAACCCGGGAGGCAGAGGTTGAGGT